AAAATGTACAATACAAGAATATAAATCATAGCACAACTTGTACCTTTACGTTCCAGACGGCGTAAATAACAATGGGCGAGAAAGTATCTATTAAGAAAATATGTTCTATAATATTAAAGAAAGCCTTGGTAATGCAGTTGGTTAGATTGAATCAAGATCGGAAACACTGGAACGGCTTCGTCAATACCGGTCGGAAATCTTGTATCTGCCTTGTCAACCGACTTATTCCAAGACATTTAGGCTTTTCCATTGTCTGAGAAGGCAATCTCTGAGAAGCCATGGAATTTCTGTCATTGTATTTAAGTGTTCCTGACAGGAAAGACTGAGACTAAAATTATGATTATCAAAGCTCGATTAACGTCTACCTTTTTAAAAATGTGAAATGAAACCATTTAGAAACGTTTGAATATCACTGTCACTTTTCTACTTAAGCCTTTAATTTTACTAGAAACTTTAGACGATTTTGTTTATACTCAGCTGATCATTCACCCCGTGTTGATAAAAATAATATATCGTTCAACACATTTAAAAGATGGCATTAATGCGATGGCCATTTATCAGTTACAATATCAATATTATCTACCGAACTCGCTTATGCATTTCGTAGAGACTCTTGCTCGCTACTATGTCGATTGATCAATACTGGCATGGGCCGAGATACTACCGGCAGTTTTAACCTCTTAGTGATGCAGGTCAGAGGGGTGAAAGCGTGCAGTGGTTGGAATGAGACAATAAACCTAGGAACTGTGTGCCATAGGCTGTCCTCGACAGTTGGAAATGGAAAAAGGGTAAACACTTGTCACTGTCCTGGAGAAGTTTTCCATCTTTGCACACTGCATGGCGTTGTTTGTCCACCTAAACCAAAACAGGTGCAGAAAAGTAGGACGTAAAGGTAATTCATTTCATGCTTTTTGTAACAATGTATTGGCCATTAATATACCAGTTTTATACATGCTGCATGGTGATAATTTATAATAAGCGTTCGTCTATTTAAACAATTCCTTAGATTTCATTAGTAATTATCTTATCTTCATAATGTCAAGCTATTACGAAATTCGTCTTATACCTTGATTGCACCTTTCTTATGTTTACTGTCTTTGCACTGATATGTGACCTGAAATCAGCTATCTATTCGCTAGAGTGTGTACGAAAAAATAAAAGTATCTTTTGTTAAAAAAACCAAAAATAAAAAAACTCAAAAATCTTTTCAAAAAGATTCTACATTAATATTTTGTAATATCATGTAATTTTAATATAATAATATTAATTAGAATTTTACGTATCTTATTTGACCGGGTACATTGTAGGTCCAAATTATTTTTAAATTGAAATTTCAGTAACCAATTATCCTTTAACATATCTTTTTCCACTCTTTTTCAGCTGAACCTGAGATATTCTTATTTCATCCCAGTCCTTGAGTTGTCAAGGTTGGTTAGGTGTAAAACCTTATGTGTGCCTCGATAGTTCAAAAGTATGTTAAATAATATGATCAATTTAACGATATTGTAAAACACTGCCTAAAACTAAAAATTCCATTATTGTCTTAATCGTTTGATATATTATTGAAAATTGTTGTCCGTAACCTTTTTTATCGTAATTATTATGTATACTTTCTATAATGTTCTACTTTCAGTTGGGATACCAACAAACTTACAAACTTCTAAATAATCTAATAAACGAAAAGCTTCTAAAATAATGTTTTTTATTGTGCTTAAAACTAATGTTAAAGAACTTTGTGCTTTATGTTTTAAATAGCTCTTTTAAATTTTAAACGTTGGAAATCAAATTTGTTATACACTGAACGTTACCTCTATAGGGAAAGTCATATACAGTATGCATTTAAAAACGGTCATCAGTAAAAGTCGCTCCATTTTACATAAATATTTAAAATTTTTGTGATGAAATAAAATATAACGTGGACGGATTTTATCCCATTGCAACAGTGTAAAGTATCATGGCATTTTCTACATTCTCACGTGACATCTGACGTAATTCTGGCAATAGGCCCATAAAATGTATTACAGCATTTCACTCGGAAGATGGTTCGAGACCTCAAAAATAACCTAAAATCTTGTAAACGAATTTTAAAATCGATGCCCACATATAATAATAAATAATGAAATAAATAACGTTATCATTCATGTCTAATGAGATGTAAATGGGTTTTCTAAATTTTCTATGTGTTTCGGGGACACTGATAGCATCCTATTGCTCCATTCTAATTTTCTAACAGACATCTGTGGTTAATGCAATTCCACTAAAATTAAGCGTCGTACTAAGGGCCTTAAGTGATAAAGCATATTTTGCGATTAGTGACGTCAATAAACACCTAGTCTGATTCACAACTGGACTATTTGCAAATTAATGCTATCAGTTTTAGAAAACCTCTTTACAGTCCCTTTAAACTTTAAATAGTCGAATTACGTACCTTGTGTCGCTCTCCATTGTGGAGTAGGGGGGGTGTAACTTGATTTTATACCGGGAAAACTAGAGGCACCATAACCTATAACAGATGCTTGAAATGAGTACTGCAAATTAAACACTTTACATTTTTTTTCCTATAAAAGAAATCTCATAAACTTGTATAATACAGATGAAACAAACAAAAATGGATTTCCTGTTGTTAACAGGTTCTAAAATAGAAATGAAATAAATAGAGTTTCATGTCTTCCTTTTCTGCACCGTGTGGGCTTACGAAGACGGGTCTAAAATCGAAAACCATAATAAGAGATTTCCAGGTGTTAATATAAGTTGAATACAGGGTTACAATGGTATAAATAAGACTCTTACCTTGGCTAGGTGCGGGAGACGATGGAGGCCACGGACTCTTTGAAAACGGCGGTTCTGAATTGATAAGAAATAATTATAAATAATCATTCACATTCAAACACAAATATATATGTAGTAATGCGTCAAAAAGTTTTCGTACAATCTAACTTTATTTCATCTGTTTTGAGGGTTGTTGCATCTGTCTGGACCGCCTTACACTTTAAGAAACAAAAAATTATATGTAAACGTGCTATAAATCAAACACGTGCCATTTTGTCTATACCTGTGAATAGAAAGCTTGGAAGCCCAGCAAAAGAGCATGGTCGAAATAAATCCTGACGTTTTAAAGTCTGCATTGAATATAATACTCTAAATCCAAATAAAAAGTTCACTTTTTGTAAATTTATATTTGTCAAATCGAAGACTCCACATACAGAAAGAAGTTCCTTGCCAGGACAACAACCGAGCACTGATGACCGAACAATAAATGTTACAAAGACAGACAGTAATGCAAAATCACGCAAAATCGCTTCAACAGTTCCGTAGTTAGCATCAATAATAGGAAGTCGTCACTCAAACCTCCATTGACAACAAACCATCTCGCAGGAGCTCATTTCCCGTTTCGAGTTTTATATGCGACTTCTATCAAATACAATAACTGCAATTTGCAACAACCAGCCAATGAATTGAGCGAGATGAAAGAATGAGTTGATCGTCCAATGTGACGGCTAATCTTAACAACTCTATATACTATAATCAATACAATTTCTAAGTTGTCTTTCATGTAAATGATACGAACCACGTGTAACGTCACTTCTGTTTACACGAAACTCGCTAGTCGGAAGGGGTCGTCTTTTCGACTATTTCAACACTAAAGAGTTCTGAAGAGGTTTAAATTGGGGGCAGTTATGGTATATGAACAAGATTGATTAAAGACTGAGACGGCTAGGAGTAAATAAACTGACTCGTGGAAGATTATTAACTTTATGGACTCTAGTCCTGACCACAATTTATCCCCTTACATGATCTCGGCTATAATTGCAAGTCAGTTTTGATTTTATGACGCCGTCTGTCCTCGTATTGAAGGCCAATGCAAATGAATCCTCTTTCATTTCTGAAATTATTTTGCAATTACGCTATGGTTTGATGATAGATAAATATTTACCGTATTTCCTGATTATTTGTTCGGGAGTGAAATGCTTTTAAGCGTTTTGTTTGCTCAGCCATTGTATAGCAGGAAAACGAAATTACTTGTTCGTTTCCTACATGTTAACTATCACAATTAAGCAAAACAATTTAAAATCACCGTTCTTTGATAGTGATAACAAAAGTAGGCTATGGATACTATTGTATTTTACTTCCAATCACTTGTCACGCACCATTATTTTCTATCCAGGTCTCTGAAGTTACATTGCTAGTTTTTACTTTAACTACTTCTAAACTCATCATGACAAATTTATAAAGAAAATCACTCTTATGGAACATAAAATTTGAATAGAAGAAAAACCCGTTATTTATGTTTCGTCACTATGATTTGATTGATCTTCGTCAGTAATGCATAATAATTATTTTAAAACATCGACTAGATTTTAATTTGATTAAAAGTGGTTCTCTTTGAAAATTATGTACAGTTGTCACTATTTTTCATGCATATTATGAAGGTATTATATAACCCGGTTTCAATTCTGTTCTAAATTGGTTTGGTACATACAGGATTTAGATCATTAGTTAAACACTCTGTATAAACTCTTGACATACAGACAATGTCACCATAAAAAAACTGAAATCTAATTATCATTTAGGTCGCTTTAATCTACTTACCAGTTTTAGGAACATAGTAAGCTGAATTATGATCTGAATCTGTGTAGGAAACAGGAGAACAGTTATTCATTGGTATATGCTGTTCGGGATGATCTCTTGAGGTACTATCTGTAATTCAAAATGATATATCGTTATCTAATGCATTGATTATTTATTGTGAATTAATCTCTTTATTCAATTATTATAGTAATATAATGTTAATTTGTCGCAAAGTCGTCTGAATCGTCACGAAACAATTTGAATTTTCTATTCAAGGGACATAACTACTGACAGTATGGTATGAAGTTTTTCGTCGAACTGTTCATAACATAAAGCACCTAAAGTTTTTATAGTTTAGTTTGGGATTGGATTTTTCGTTAGAGCTGGTACAAAGTTTGTTTTAACTAACTACAGCATTAGGATAAAAAGGCTTAAAATATACAAAAAAAACTAATTCTCATAAATGCAAACTTACTTTGACGCAGATATCCTAAATGCTTCATTAAAATATCAGCATTGTACGGAGACATTTTTTCGTGGAAGTCTTCTTTGCTCATTTGAGAAAGTTTCACCCCGTCTGTACTCAAGAACTGTGATGTATTTATATCTCGTAGAGAATATTGTTTTATTGCCCAATGTAACCACTGCTGAACATGCGCTTTGGTCCACAGGTGAATTTCTGTAAGTAGAAAAGGAAAATATCATACTATAAAACTGAAGAAATCAGATGTAAACGACATATAATAATAATTAAAATAATAATAATATACGATTGAATCCTATGTATATTGTGTAGCTCTTTCCCATTAAACCAATGATACAAACAGGAAATAGATAGTTATCATAAAAACCAGAAATATTACCGATAATGATATTATGAAATTTAAATATGATCTTAATCATGATAAGAAAAATGAAATTTTTAAGAATAATATGAAATCAAGTAAGACAAGTACATTTTAGATATCACGATATCAGTAGGAATACTATTTACAATACCCCTATAACATTTTTAAAATAATAATTTTCGTTCTAAAACTTGAATGAATGCATCAATCACTACTATTAAGATAAACTTACTATAACGCAAGTGAATTTATTTTACAACCTCTGTAAGTACATGCACACAGAACCCTAATTTTCTAAAATGAAACTTAAAATAAAAATTCTCAGCTTAAATATACATATAAATGTTTTTCACACCATAAGCTATTAGTAGAATTTGTCACCATGACTATTTCATCCAGGGATGACTTGTGTTAATATGGCATGCCGGTGTTTGTAGAGGATGTGTTAATTTTATTAACGCCCACCTTGATTCTCGGACAGATTTCCTGTTGAGACATATTGTTCTTTTTATGTCCAGTTAATCACTTCTCCACAGGAATTTCACTAAAATCAGCAAAGTTTGCTTGTACCTGACTTTTCTTAGCAGGTAGTAACAGTTATTAATTCTATCTTTTCTTTAGTTTCAAACCATAACCGTCAAATTAATTAACCGATAATTTACCCGAAGTTTTTATATTTTCATGCCATATATAATTTATGCGTGTCATACTGCGCGTTTCAGATGCAAAGGAATCGTTATCATTTTCGATGGAATATATTTCATGCCCGTAATAAGATTAGTATTTTGGTTCATGATGATACGCTTGTTCGACGAGCAAATACTTGACTTTTATGACTTTTTTGTGACCTTTGTTTTCAAATTTCAACTCCTTATTAGGACAACGATAAAAAATATTTCAAATTCAGTAAATTAGTGCATGCGGTTTCTTAAAGATTATATTTAATGACTTTACATGAAATAATATAGGCTCTTAAGTAATTACATACGATTTGTCCATCTCTAAACCGCCAACCTATTTAACCCCTTTAAAAAACTTGTAATTTAGGTTTGTCAGCTGTATCCAGAAAAAAGTTTTCAAAGAAATCATTATCTGGTTCATGTAAATACATTGCTAAAGTGCTCCAATCCGGAAAAAATGCACGGCTCTTATATCAGTTCTCCAAGTGGTGCCATGATAATTTATTTCCGAAACCACGTTGAAAACACTATGGCCAGTAAGAACATCCTAATTTCTAGGTCATCGATCACACGCGAAAAGCTCAAGCTCACGTGAGTTGAGCCATGAGTTAACCGAAAAAAATGAAAGACAAAAATTCTGTCATTCTGAAACAACAGGATTATGACAATCGTCATTTCAACTTCAAATGCGGATAAACTTAGCTAAAAATTCCCGTTTCTGATATTAGGGTATGATTGATCGAACGGACAGCGAATTCGTCCCTTTAAGTCAAATCAAGTTATCTCAAACAAAACGAAATGTCTTTCTATTTGTCAACCCTAATTGTCGTGAGAGCCATTATATACTTTGCCTAAGATCCGAAAGTGTCCTGACAAGGAATAGTATATTCGGATCCACAAAAGACACCCACTTATATCGTAGTCATTTACAATGTAAGAACACATTGCTAATTTATAATTCTACTAGCATGCCAACATCGAGCCTACCTAAAAGAGACGCCGATTTTTCTCTTTAAAAAATTACTTTAAGTTCCTTCAAATGCCATCCTAATTTCTATCGATATGTCTTTTATGCACAATATCAACAATACTGCCAGTCCATAAAGCATTCGATACAAAGAAACCTGATGAGGAGAAATCCTACTACTCTTAGGGCCGTATGCAAAGTTAGGATTAAGGCTTTCATTTTCTACATTTGATAGTCAAATTTAAGCACGACTTTCTTAAAGATCGGCCGGTGCATACCTAAAGTTCGACTTAAGTCTAATTTTAGTCAAAGTGTTTAGATAAAGTACTTAAGTCAAACTTTAGGTATGCACCGGTCGATCTTTACGAAAGTCGTGCTTAAATTTATAAGTAATATATGCCATATTACAGTTTTGGAAATTATTCTTGAGGAAAAAAAATTCTCGTTTCACTAATCGCATGCCGAGGTTTTGAATGTGATCCACATTCTAAAAACCACATAATTCCTGGCGTTTGTGATGACACAGGTAATGGTAAGTGACTTTATTCGCATTGTGCGCATGGAGTTGGGTGATTTAAAACTAAGAAGCGTGGGTCACGGGGTTTCCTCTCTTCGTAGGTTGATATAGTATAAAATGTTAAGTCGGATTACAAAGAGGGGGCAGGGCAATCAAATGTGCTACAGGTAGTGTACTTATCCCTGATTGCAAGCTGAAGAAATTTTCCACATGTTTTCAAACTTCCGATTCGATTAGAAACCCGGAAGGTAAAGATATCGGTATAAATAAATCAGATAGAATTAAACTGGTGTTAGGTATAAAGAAGATTTAAAGTACTTGCATTATATTTACAAGAAACGATGCTACTTCAAAAGATAATTCCTTTTTTTAAATATCCTTTTCCCTTCTAGAAATATACTTCAAAGGGTTAAACTTTTCAGGCGCAACTTTTTTTTTTACTGAGTTAAAGAAATAAGTTCAATGGTGTTACACACGCCACAGCACTGTGGTCAGATACCATCTCAATTTATACTTTGAAATCACCTGAGCGTATTATTGCTTGAAAAGATTCTTTTGGCAATTATTTCATCTTTACAACCCAAAAATATATTGCAATTTCATGCAAAGATCGTATCACATTTTTTAATAGCAGCCGTTTTATCTACACTATATATGCGGATTTTAGCATGGTTATGTTATTAAGGTATTTACAATGTTTAAGTCAAAGGCTGAAAACTAAAGAAAATTTTTGATTCAACATGTTCATCTAATCTTTATAATTGGTTAACATATGCAATAGGGTTATCATTGGTGACCTTTATTCAGATATTAAAAAAAGTCATAGAATTGTTGGTGGTCGAAGCCTTTTGGATTGTGTCCCATTTTTTATAAGCCATCATTAGGTTCCTTTTATTTTCTTTACAATTTATACAAATATTTTCTGTTACATTTTCTATTCCTTCTGTAATGCGTCAAAACTATAATATATATATTTAATAATTGTTTTTATTATAATGATTACTATGTTTTTATTATTATTATATATTTTGAGCTAGTTTTCAAGATAAGCGATATTACTACCAAACTACTGTATCACTGTAACAAAAGAAGGAATATTGTTAGCAATTGCCCAAAACTAATGCGACTCTTATATTATGTATTTCTATATACACATATGTCACCCATGTGCACAACATTACACCATGTTGTAAGGAAAAAAAGGCGGGGTATAAGAAATAGTTCCCGGTATGATATCTTCCCTCGGGAATTATTTTAGAACATATTATTAAAACATCAGTTTACATTATTATACAGGTACTGTTTTCTAAAAGGTGGTACTTACTATTAATAACAGCATCAATCTCTTTTCCGATTTTAAGTCTTGCATTTTGAATACCAAAAAGGAACCCTATGCCAATCTTCAAAACGCAATATTTGTAACAGGTGCACTTCCAAAATTACAGAAAAATCGTTCATTTAGATCTTAATACATTTTTATCATCTTTATGCAAAAACCACAAAAAAGAAATTGAGGCAAATTTAATATGAAGTAGCAGAATAAAAATGTCATAAAAATTATAAAATTTTGGTTTATTGAAAATTTACAGTATAGTTTTACTGTATGGAGTCATGAATCGCAAATACTATGACGAATTTGGGTCTTTTAATTACCCAATAAATAATGATATAATTTTAAAGCCGAGCAGTTTCTGAAATACCAAGAAAACAGACCTAGCTCAAATGAAACTATTTAAAAACGGATTTTAAGGTTTTTTGTCAACTCTTTTATTATTTCTGACTTATATTATCGGAATAACGTTGTTAAATTGAGTGATAAATAATAAATGGTTGTTCAGGACCACAGGACGTGCTTCCTTTTAACAGATTCATTGTTTCTATAGTCTTTTTTTAATGAAATATTAGTAATCTAAATATTAGTCATATAAATAACTTATTTTTCAAGGATGCATTCTATTTACATATGGACAAACTAGATATGAATAAATAAACCATGTACTAACGATCCGAAACGCAAACTGATCAACATAATGGTGTGCTCATGCAAAAATACTCATAAAAAATTACCTCTACAGAAATATATGTGAAGTACCGATCTCAAACATAGTTACATCCGATTTCGTTTCACTACGGATACTAATGTTTTATTCGGGAGCAAGCGACACTGACATGTGCTAACACCAAATCGACATATTTTCTACTCTCTTATTGTATCCAATTTAATTCGCTAATGTAAGACATCTCTTGTCAAAACAAGACTTGTGGCCAAGAGTTCCATTTGGAGACTGTTGAATTTCTGACTGTATGTAAACATGTGAATTGAAAACAGAAAGAAAATATTTCCTCTCTCAAGTTGTATAAATAACTGGTCGAGGTGCCTATCATATTGTTGTCAGATACAATGTGCATCTAATATCAAAACATGTGGTTACTAACATTTGTATAATTTTTTAAAAGATGCGTTTGGGTGCGTAATTTAAAATTCGAAAATAATATGATGAAAACTTCAGTACTGTCCATGGCAGTGTACAATTTTGAAAAATTATTCATCGGACAAATTTAATAGCAGATTTTTTTTTGTCAGTAACCTCTAGAATGGGTCCCACCTCGGTTCTTTAGTAAAGTCCAAATCGTAACATGAAGCTTACAATCTGCAATA